GACGCGATTTTCATTATGGGTCATCCGGAAACAGTCTCTCTGTGCTTTAGTACAGGGGTAAGACTGCGTACATCCGACCCCCCCTTACCCTACCGTAGGTGGGAGCCTTTGCGGCACTGGGGTAAATGATGAAATGGTGATGTATTGTTTTCTTGATTTTGTGATTCTCATATGTAGTTTACACACATGGAAGGTGTGACTAACTTCGAATGATGAGTTAAATATTGTCTAACATTGTGGTTTTCTTCACACATATTGCAGCTCATGATCTGGAACCATTTTTACTTCTTCGCATTTTAGAAATTCTCCACACAGCTTCTAAAGCTGGACGTATCCAGATTGCAGATTACATTAGTTTTTTAATCACGTTGGTTTCACATTTCCGTAGTTATCCTGGTAAAATTTGAAATGTTATCAAAATTTCTTATTAAATCTAGTAAATCAAATCAGTGACCAGGATATATAATGATTAAATCTAGTAATTGGATCCTTTGCAGAGAAAATCAGTTCTTTAGAGGATGGAAAATCAATCCATGGAGCCTTTCAACCGGTTATAAGTGCAGTTTGCTCTTGTTTGTCACATATCGGTGATAACTGTCTTATTTTCCAGATGGTGGAGAAAGTAATAATTGATCAGATTGTAAGTTGATCAACTTACATTTTATGTGCACATGGAAATTTTTCATTATTATAAGTATATAAATATGTTTTTTTATATATCAGTTTTTAATGGATTAAATGACTGGATTCGAATTAGGACAGTAGCTTCGTATTATACCATTATTATTTTTTATATATTTAGATAGGTGTATTGTTTACAGTGACTTGTAAAGTATTTTGCATGTAATTATTATTGGTTTATGGGTGATGGTTGACATTATTTAGAGTTATTCCCCCCTTCTTTTAGTTATCATTGATTTGTTTTATATGGTTGGTATCATTATACTTTGTTTATTAGAGGTGACATCTTGCAATTTGTTTCAGTATCTTAGCCCTCCGAAAGATAACATGAATGCTCTTCTAAGGATTCTTACCACAATAGATACAGTTCCAACAAGACTTTCGGGACATAGCATCGACAAGCTTTGCCATGTTCTTCCAAAGTATTTATTACTGGTTGCATCTGTAAGTACTCATCATTAATAATTACTTCTCTTTTCGTCTTTCATGGCCACACATAAAAAGATAGAATAACACTGTGTGGAGGGCATATACTGAAAGTTTTGTCAGTATGCTTCGTAGCATGAATTTGAAGTGTTTAATTTTATCTGGTGATACTATTGAAGCCTTTTTGGTAGGCAAAATAATCAGAATATTCAGATTAAGTACTATGTACTTTATTTGGCTGGGTCTTGCTAAACACATTGTTTTTAGTAGATTCAGCCATTTCAGCGATATAATCTTTACTGACCAGGATCTAATTTTCGTGGTACTAATCTGGCTAAACTTAAGGCAGTGATGATGACAATCCCAGTTTTGTGGTGAAAGAATAATAGTATTCATTACATTTCTTTTCACTCTGAGATTTGTGTTATATAGGATCTTCCAGAAGAAGTTAACAAGCAGAATTCGATCTTGAGTTTGAAGAAAAGTCAGTATTACCTTCTTCCTTGCTTCTTTCTATTCCATAGAAGCAGTAGACTCTTAAGTGATGTTCTGAAAGGGCTGGGATCATTGTTGGCTGTAAATGGTTCTCCGACTTTGTCTCGACAAGATATTGAATTCGTTCCAGCAATAATTAACCACAAAAGCAGTCTTGTGTCAAGTTTGGTGTCTCTTCTCCTGCTTCTGCTTACCGATACTAGAATGAGGCGACTACTCTCTTCGTGCAAGGCTGAGATCAAGATCATCTCGCAATGTCTAGCTACTCGTCTGGTATTGACTCAAATATCACCCTGAAACTACCCACCATTAATCTTTGTTTCATAAGTGCAAATGAGCTAATGATGTTAGCCTGTTCTTTTGTTTGCAGTCTCCAGATTCCAGTAACATGAGTCTAGAAGAAAGGCACGAAGTACAGAGAGCTTATGATAAGCTAAAAACCGTGACTGCTGTTCTTCTAGCTTAGCCATTCCAACCTAATCAGGATGTAATGTGTTCCTACACAAAATATGTTAGCTTTTTTGAACTTTTTTAATTTATTATTCATAAATATAGTTAAAATTATTGAGAATCCAGATTGTAATATACAACGTTTTGCACTGGTGTATAATAGAGAGGAAAAAAGCATTTTTTTAAAAAATTCCTCGTTATGGCTTATGGGAACAAAATTGTGATGCAAGTGCAATATACCGTTTCAATATTTTTCTTTTAAAATTCTTATTTTGCATATAGAAAATGTCCAGTTCGCCATGCTTATTGTTGAAATAATACCTGATGCATGACCAAAATAAAGCTAGCACATAAAAATGTGATTTAATAACTATTACTAATTATAATTATGTTTAAATTTTACACTAGTTAACTATAATGTATTCACAGTCACTGTAGTTATATTTTTACCTACAAATTTCATTTTAATAATATCTTATGAAAAACCTCTAATCTACTCAATTCTTTTTTTTGAAGGTTAATGAGTGAATGAGTGAATCTGCCCAATTCTGAAAATGACATGCTTATGTACTTCATGTCTTCATGTTTTCATGTAGTTTATTATGGAATAAAAATGGAAATGTGATTCTTTTGTTAAGGAGTAAGGACAAGTTAATAGTGTGTCACTAGTGGAAAATAGGGTTCAGAGAATTTACTACCATTCCGGTGGCAAGTTCAAGCACATTTTTAGATGCAAAATGAATGTTTTCTATACTTAAATGAGATGAATAGACTAAAATAGTCTTGAGTCGACTAACATTAATATACTAAAAATATGATATTGAAGTAAAAACATTAGATACATAAAGAGAAAGACAAAATCCTTCTCACAACTCCAGGTATGTTCTCTTCCACCCTTTACTCCCACTCCTATTTGATCCCAATGATATTCGATCATTCTTGATCACTCTAATTTAGGGATGGTCTTAGTATGCCAGCCCTGATCGAACCAGAATCGAGTTTGAGATCGGGTTTCTAGTTCCAGTCAACTATTATCGTCCGTTGTGACTAGGCATTTGTGCGACAGAGTGTGTCACGATTGCTGAGAAAGGGAAGCTGTGCGGGAAAGGTGTTGAGAACACCAAGTTTGCTGGAGGAATGGACTCGTTGAATAGAGCTTCTATTCTCATTGCTAGGGAGGTTCGTAGTTATGTTCATATCTTCTACCTTGTTTATTTGTTAGAGAGATCCTTCCAAAAAGGTGTTAAATGTCTTTTGGCAGCTTACAAGAAAGAAGGTGGAGGATCCTTCCATTAGTCAACTCATTGGCAAATTATGTACATGTATCTAGAAAGCAGTCAAATACAGTGGTATGGAAAGAAGAATATCCCCATCCATCACCTTACGCAACACAATTAAATTTTGATCAAGGAGAGAGAGAGAGAGAGAGAGAGGAAGAAAAAAAAGGAAGGAAGGAGAACTACCAAATAAGTCATCAAACTTACATAAAAAGTGCAAATCACCCCTTATATAGGAGACTCTGTCCGGACGTCACCATTTGGGACGGTTCCCGGTGTAATTTTTTGATGATTTTTTTGAGCATGATATTTAGTCATGGACCCGGGCCGGGCCGGTTCCGGGCCGGGCCCGGCCGGGCTTTTTTTTTTGGAAGGGAGGACCGGGTCCGGTCCGGGTCCGGGCCGGGCCGGGCCGGGCCTCCGGTTCGGTCATTTTTTTTTTTTGGCTTTCCTAACCCCCCCACTCACCCCCCCACCCCCCCAAACCCCCAAACCCCTCCTAACCATCAAGCCCAACCCGCCTAACCCCTAAAAATGAAAAAAAATAAAAAAAAAATCATTTCGGCCCGGGCCCGAGCCTGACCCGGCCGGGCCGGTTCGCCAAATACAAGGCCCGAGCCCGGACCCGCCCACCCCACCGGGCCTAGGCCCGACCCGGACCCGGACCCGAGAACCGGGCCGGTTCCGGGCTCGCACAGTGACGGGCCGGGCGGCCCGAACCGGGTCCATGCCTAATGATATTCATTAAGTCTAGTTTACTCATACCAAATTTCAGCTAAAAGTTCAACCGGGAAGGCAGTCAAATAATTTTCTGAAATATACCGCGTTGTTTAACTGCGCAATTATCTTCAAAAATTCATTGATTGTCTTCCCGATTGAAGTTTTAGCTGAAATCAGGGGCGGCTTGAGCAAATGAGAGGCCCTAGGCTGAAAAATATTTAGTACACACAAATCATATTTTTTTTATCGTTAGACACAAATCATATTGGAGCTAGATGAGATAAATTGAATAAAAAAACATTATGAAAAAAAAACATATTCAAAGTGCTAGATATAATGTTTTAGTATTCAAAATGATAAGTGTTTAAATGCAATCATATATAAAATACACTATTGGCCGTCATCACAATACCTACATATTTATAGGTAATACAAAAACTACAAACAAACTAATTAACAGAAAACGTAAAACTACTAAATACAATGACAAATCAGACAAAACAACTACTTTGCTAATTCAATATAGTCAAAATAATTATATCATGTATTTATCAATTATCATCTTTTTTTCAAAAGATGTATATATCAATTATCATCTAATACATACAATATGTCAATATAGTACATACAATATGTCAATATCAATATAGCAAATAGCAATATTAATCCAATAAGTTTTAAATAATAATTTAGGAATTAGGAATTGACCTTAAATATGAATTGAATTGTTGACCTCAATAGACTTTAAAGGCAGGAACGACAAATTGCCTTTACTGCTAGTTTATGCTTTACCACTTCCGGCCTTTAGGCTTTATCTCTAGTACTTCAGACTTTAGAGACGGCTAGAGATTAGACCAAATGTCCAATTTGATTCTATTTCACTACTTAATTAGATACTAGAGAATAAGGTTAGATGGACATAATAGAGAAGTCACACGGAAAGAGACTTACAGTTCCGATGAGAAGCCTGTTCCTGCTTGCTTGCTTTTGCTTCGTGTAATCATTGCTTTGGATTTACCAACAGCTGACAGTGAGTCGGCGACATGGATCGGAAACGCAGCAGTTTTGCGGATGTGTGAAGCGATGGAGTTAAAATAACTAACTAATTAATTATTATAAAATAACCGAGTACTAATACTTACAGACTATTTTGAGGCCCCTTTGGCTTGGGAGGCCCTAGGCAGTTTGCCTGGGTGAACTGCCCCCAAAGCCGGCTCTGGCTGAAATTTAGTATGAGTAAACTAGATTTAATGAATAAGATGCTCAAAAAAATTCATAAAAAAAATGCACCAGGAACTGCCCCAAATGGCGACGGCCAGACAGAGCCTCTTATATAAGGGGTAATTTGCACTTTTTATGTAAGTTCGAGGGCTTATTTGGTAGTTCTCCCAATATAATAATGAGCTTGTAGCTAGGGCTGAGCATAATCCGGTCCGGACCGGAAAACCGGACCGAACCGGACCGGTCGGTCCAGACCGGACCCGGACCGAATAGTTACCGGTCCGGTCTTCGGTCCGATCCGATCCAAAACCCGGAATATTCCGGTCCGGACCGGTTAGACCGGAATTAAATTATTATACATATAAATATATTAATATATATATACATAAATTTATATTTATATTTAATTTATATTTATATATGTATTTAAAATGTACACAGATACACATACACAGTACATTAATTTACTTTTAAAAAGTACATTAATTAAATGATACAATAACTTATACATCAACTCAAGTTACATACATAATATTATTTACACATTTATACTAGTAAAATTATGTAGCATAAAAACATTAAGAGGTAGAATGGGGCATTGTATTTACTTATTTTTACTTGTTTTAACTATAATATATAGTTTGATTAATTGAATTTTTCTTTGTTAAATGAGCAAATCTATTGAGTCGAATCATTCACTAAATTAATCAAGCAAGGAACATTAGTTTCCCGCACTAATATGATCATGCCTAAAATTTTATAGTCAAAATTGAATCACGTATTTTTCATATTTTGACTAGGCGTAGTTCATGTGTTTATTTCGACTTATTTGAAGTATTATAATGTATATTATATTGATTAAAAGAGACATAGAAACCATACATATAAAAGAATACATTAGAAATAATCACTTATAAACATCATAAAATAATACTCCGTAATAAAAACAATGAGGTAATAGGTACATTTTTGGACAATCAAACCTATTTTTAAAAAGATGAAACATTATAAAAAAATAAAATTAAAAATCCGGTCCAATACCGGTCCGGACCGGAAAAACCGGAATAATCCGGTCCGGTCCGGTCCTGGACCGGAATTATATAGGTCCGGTCTTCGGTCCACTTTTTTTGTGAATTCCGGTTCCGGTCCAACCGGTTCCGGTCCGGTCCGGTCCGGTCTTGGACCAGTGCTCAGCCCTACGTTGTAGCAATTTTAATCATTTGTTGTAATTACAATGAAGGCTCCTTTATTAGTCGTGGGAGTTTGGTTTATCCCTTTGCCCACAACACAAATGATACTCATTGTTTGTTTTAGTTGAATTTCAAAACATCCTTAATTAATATGAATCATACCAAAAGCATGTTCTCTAGTAGTCACAATCGTGTGTTGGATCACCAATATCGTTGGTTTGCCATTGTGTTGCGAAGCAACCTATTTCAATAATACCACAACCACTTCAGTTTTTCGTGTGGTTAAGATCACAAACTTATGTTCAATAAATAAAAAAAATCAAATAAATGATATAATAATACACCTAATTAAAATAAATGATATAATAAAATATACATATTAGATTTTGGGAATATGATGTGCTAATACACAATATTAATTAAGAGATATCATTATCATTAATCATATGTTAAATTATACATTTAACATAGTGTGATTATACCCTATCTAATCCATTCCTTGTGAATAGCGCATTTTACAAATTTCGACATCTTAATTTGGCAAAGGGAAAGTATATCAAACATATATTGTCTATATTTTTAAAATCATAATTCAAACACTTTTTACACAATACAAGTAATGCACTTGTAAATAACAACTTAAATAATTACAACTATTTATTACTTGCCAAGAACAGATAAAAACTGTTAATTTAAAATAATAAAATGAGTAACAATAATAGTTAGAAAAGTACTCATTTTGGACGGCCCATGCCACTCTTTTAAATAATATGATAATAATACACATTTTCAACATGTCATGACACTTTTTTAATAATAATTGTGGATATTTAAATATCATTGGGTCTCTTTTAAATGCTACCACGCTATCTTCGGCCTCATTGAGACTCTTTTAAAGTTTATTGGGCGAATGTCAAATTCTACTTGACCGCTCATGATAGTTGTTGGGCCTTTCAAAGGAATTTAGTTATATGAATCCCTTCTGATAAAATTTAATGATTAAATTAATTTGAATTATTTAAGATATTCAATTAATTTAATTATAAATTGAGTTTTTAAAATAGTGGACTGACTCCTATTAGATCCTCTATTTTAGAGCCCAATATCAAATAGTGACCTAAAATAAATTTTAGGGGTCTGATACAACTTATAAATGAGGCAGCGAATTTGGTCAATGAATTCATCCATATGCATGAAAAATACCTATGAACGTTGTTAAAATGGTTGTCATGATATATTGCAAAAATCCTGAATTTTCGAACTATTAAAATGCAAGCAAATGAAGCACAAAGCTCATTTCAATTGGAACCCTAATGTATGTCTCAGCGCCTCCACACCTATAAATATGGTTTTCAATTGAGAGATGTGGAAGTTTGTTCAAATAAAAAATTGAGAGAAGTGGAAGCAGAGAATTTCCAGATGAAGAAACGTTACTAAAAACTCTGAAGAGCTCTCAAGAGGCTCTAAAGAATTCTAAAGAAGAGGAAAAGATCAAGCCATGAATTTTATTAAAAATATACTAATAATCCCTTGTGATTTCATCCATTCTTTATAAAATAAGTTCAAAAGTTGAAAAATGTTCGGAGATATGAAAAACAAAGATTGAAGATTCAAAGATTTGTAGGACAACGCTTTGAAGATTCGAAGATTTGAAGAACGAATCTTTGAAGATTTGAAGATATTCATATGAATATTTGATCAAGATTCAATTGAAGATCAATTCATATATCATGGGAAGAATGTCCGAATATTTGAAGAATCAAATGATTGAACTCGATATTCTCATAAATTTTGATTTGCGACCAATTTTAAGTAAATACTTAAGATTTGTTTCACAATAATTATAATTATAATGGTGGTGGTGGTGATAACCATTGGGAGTTCATATTGGCCCAACTCAATAACTAATTATTTAAACCCGTCGAAATCTAAAAATGCCATATATAAACTTGCATTTCTATTTAAGGTAGGTTTGCACTTCCTTAAAAAAAGTGCTTTTGAGCTTTTGGATTAAAAAAAGTTGAAAAGAGTGTTTTCAAATGATAGCTTCTGCTTAAATTAATCACTTTAAAGCTAAAAGCTGGAAGCAGGTGGAATGGTGCTTTAAACTGCTTTTCACTTTTTCTATTACTTAAAAAGCACTTATTTTACCAAACACTACCAACTTTTACTTTTTCAGAATCACTTTTTTCTCAAACACTACCAACTTTTACTATTAAGTACTTTCTCCAAAATCACTTTAAAACATCACTTTTTAAAAGTAGAAGCAATCGCAAACACTCCCTTAGACATTTCATTTCTCTACACATCACATTTAGGATGTTTTCTTTTGGATTGTTTTTAGTCCCAGACCAGACCAGACCAGACTTGACTTTCGTAGTTATAAAATACACAGAGACCAGACGTTTACCAGACCAGACCAGATCAGATCAGATCAGATCAGACCAGACCAGATCAGACCAGACCAGCAAATTTCAGTCCAAAAGAAAACAATCCTACTGTCCACTAACTTTCATCGCTCTTCATCTGATTTCTCATGAACCATATTTACCGTCCATCATCGACTATAGTGCATAGGCCCCGAATCCAACTATACATTTGGTTAAATCGTGAGATTGTTAGTAAGCATATCTATGTCATTCATTAAGTGGTTTAAATTTGACTTGGTAAAACAAAATAACACACAGTCAAGTGAAAACTATCAAATAAGTACTCGTACTATATGCAATAAGTCGATTGAGTCTTTATACTATCAAATCATTCCATTAAACCCTCAAACTATACAAATCACCCAATCTTGCATTTCAGCCGGTTGACTAGCGGTGATGCTGGTAATAGTTGATGTGGCTGGCCATGTGGCATTATCTACTTTGCCATTCGGTCAATTTTATTTCATTTTTCATTCTCTCCTCTTGCCTTCGTCCAATTGCCCCTCTTCCCACATCTTTGTTCTTCTCCTATGTCCAACTGCATTATCGTATGTTTTTCTTTTTCATAATTCTGGTACTGAACAAAACATTCACCGCTAATTCCATTTACCGAAATATAGAACTAATATTTTGCGTAAATTTAAGAGATAAGAGAAGAATCTGAATCCCTAAATGGTTTGCAAAAAAAAAATCACTACAAAAAAACAGCGTTATAGTCACGGATTTTAGTCACGGATTTCGTCCGTGACTAGTTTAGTCACGGTCTAGTCACGGACTAGTCACGGAATTTTTAAAAAAAAAATAGTCACGGTCTGGACCGTGACTATGACCGTGACTAACATTAGTCACGGTCCATAACCGTGACTTAATTCCTCCGATAGGCCCATTTCCGTTTCCGGCGAAGTTTATTTGACTCCGACGACTTAGTCACGGCCAAATCCGTGACTATGCCCGTGACTATAATTAAAATTTAATTTTTTTCAACTCCCTTAGTTAATTCGCAACGGCATTATGTACGGATAATTGTAGTCACGGCCGTATCCGTGACTAGTTCCGTGACTATGTTGATTAACACGTCATTTACACGTAATTAACACGTGTTGGACGCGTATTGGACACGGTTTTGCTTAGTGACGGACAAATCCGTGACTAAGACCGTGACTAAATTTTTTATATATGCAGGAGCAGCTCATTCATTCAACAGAACCACACCAATTCATTCCCAGTATATACAGTATCCGTAGATCGAAGGATGTAGTCTATCTTCTATCATTTTCCCTGTTTATGCAGATAAGGTATGTTATTTGAATTATAATTTTTATTTTGAATTAGTTGGTTCAATTTAAATTATTAA